AAATAATATTTTAAATAAAATTAAAAAGTTAAAAGACTATAAAAATTAGATAGTTCTATTTAAAATATAATAAAAATATAAAGAAAAGAAAGAATAGTTTTATAAAAGTTTAATTAAAATAAAAGATTAAAAGTATTATTTCTATTTTATTTAATAATAAAAACTATTTTATTAAAAATAGAATATTAATTATAAAAAAATAAAATTTTAAATATAAAAGAAATAATTTAATAGATTTAACTTTAAAAATTTAATAAAATTTTATTTTTATAAAGAAAATATTTTATTTAAGTTAAAAGTTTATATTTAAAATAGTTTTAATAAATTAATTAAAATAATTAAAAATAAAGAATAAAGTTTATTTTATAAAAATTATTTTTAAAAAATATATTTTAATATTTATATATTTATAATTTAAATTTAAAGGGTTAGTTAAAAGGGTTAATTTAAAGGGTTAAAGGAGCTTAAAAGGTTTTTATAAATAGAGTCAATAAATAATAAGTAGTTATTAAAGGTATTACTTTTAAAGTAGGTTTATTATTTTATTTTATTAATAAAATAGTAAAATATACTTTATTTAATTTAAAGAGTTAAAAGATTTAACTTAAATAAAGTATTTTTAATATTTTTAAATAACTTTTTTATTTTATTTATTAATAAATAATAAATATTTTAATTAGATATTTTATTATAAATTAAAAATATTAAGAGGTTAAATTTAAAAGAAGGTTTAATAAAAGAGTTTAATAATTAAAAGTTTATTAAAATTATTAAATTAATAATACTTAATATTTAATAAATTAATTACTTTTAATAGTTATTTTAATTATTATAATTTAATTAAAGTTTTAATTAATTAAATTAAATTATTTTATAAAAGTTTATAAAAAGTTTTATAAATATTTAAAAGTTTTAATTATAATTTAATTTATATATAATTTTTAATAATTATAAAATTAATCTTTTATATTAAAAGTAAAAAGAATATTAATTAATTATAACTATTATATTATATAATATTTAAATAAAATAAAGCTTTAGAAATTAAATAAGGAATTAAATAAAGGTTTTTATAATTAATTTTATTAAAAGTATTTTATTTATATATATATATTTAAAGAAGAAGCTAACCTATAAGAAGCTATAGGGAAGGTAGTAGTATAGGCCTATCGGCCTAATTAGTCATCCCTAACAGTCTTTTCAATACCATAAAATTCTGCACGATAGGTATATTTTCTATATTTAATTATTTTTGAACTCCTGAATCTTCTATCTGTTTCCGGTTGAAAATGAGACTATCCGTCATTATCGGCTTAGCTCTTCTTAACACTATCGCTCAGTACGTTACCTCCACTACATTCTAATATGCTTCCTCAGCGGCGGACGAGCTTAAAGCCGCAGCATTGAGCCCCTCTCTCATCTCCTACAAAAAAGGCAAACTATTCTCGGACTGAAAGGCTAATACATCTTGTAATAGAGCGAAGTGGGAAATTGATGCGACCACCTGTAAGAATAAGAATGATGTTGATTACATTAAAGAGGAACTCGTGCAAGCGCAGAAAATGGCGTTGGCGGGTAAAACCCTCTTGGAATCAGAGGGGAAGACCTACTATCAAAAGTTTATATCGACCCAGGCACAAGAAAAGATATTGGCAATGACGACGACACCGGCATCCGAGGCTATTAAAAAAGTTTTTCAAAATTCTGCCGACTTGCTGAACGAAAAAGGAGGAAATATAGTGGCTAATCACATGTAAGTGTTCATGCACAAATCATTTGGTCTTTTTCAATTTAATCCTGGATACTGGCATTTGCCGACTTTACTAACCTGTTTTAACACGGCTGTAAGGCGACTTCAAATCTGCGCCATGCACGAACAAGAAAAAAGATGTAAGTAATGATTTACATCTTCTCTTCATATTGAGATAACGGGAATCAGTACTAACTGCCAACTTGAAGGTCCAAGCACATGTGATCCAAAGCAGCGGAACGATCAACCTATGTGAATCACTCTTCGACAACACAGAAACGGTTACCGAACTGCAAAAAGACTGCGATGTCCTCAACCTGGACGACGTATCTCGTCAAAGTGCCGCCATGACACTTGTCCATGAAACGATGCATTTCAAAGAAGTCATGGGCCCGGTTCTTGGAGCAATGCCCGAGGAGTTCCAGTATGCTTGATAGCTGCCTACACTGTTTATATCAAACTGACGAAATTGATTCTTTAGGGCTACTGTTGATTTCGCATATCACGTTGAGGACTGCTTGGACCTTGCCGCAGGAACGCTGCCACCCGAGTCTCCATCTTCCCCATCTTCCCCCCCGGCGAGTCAGAAAGTTTGCTCGGCCCTCAAGAATGCCTCCTCCAAGAATGCCGCCTCCAAGAATGCCGCCTCCAACAATAAGAATGCCGCCTCCAACAATGCCGCTTCCAAGGATGCCGCCTCCAAGAATGCTGCCTCAAGCAACTCTAAACCCATCAAAACCACGAAGAAGACGTCGAGAGCAGAAGCAGGGTGCCTTGACGAAGAGTTTACAATGATGAATGCGGACAGCTACGCACTCATTGCAGCGGGTGCTTTTTTTTCCGATTTGTGCAAGGCGGAGATACCCTTGATAGACACAGAAGGCTCATCTTCAGCCGGTTCGAAGGCAGGTGGATCGAAGGCAGGCTCACCCTCAGCGTGAAACCACAGTCAGAAACCTGCGATATTACACCAAAGGAGTCGCTGAATTACTCATGCTAGTCATGGTATCGGGATACATTGTAAAGGAGCCACGAAGAGCTAGAGAGTTAAGACAATGAAACCTAGCGGAGTAAAGGCGTATATTGGACCAGGGCTGGCCCTTGGAGGATAGATCATTATATTATAACAGGACAGAAAAGTACCCAAACTGATCTTTATCTTCCTTCTATCGTGATATTCCTAGCATTTTCTACAAGTGCGGCTGTGGATGTTAGAATTCCTTCCTGCTTTCCTTTTCAATCCAGAAACACCTAATGCACTGAATACTAGTTCAATCGATTTATCTACTGATTTATGTAGCTGGGAATGCAGCAAGGTGGGCAATGATTGCGCGGCCGTGACTGGCAAACAAAGTCCCATTGCGAAGGAATCCGCCAGACAGGGACAACCAAAAGTACAAGATCACTAATAGACCCGCGTATTCTTTACGGTATATAAAAGAGATTACCATTTACTTCCTGCATCATTATCTAATCCAGTGCTTCAAGCTTAAATCTTATATCTTAGTCTTAATACCCACTCACCATGCTTATAAGAAGTCCTATCTTAGGTACATAGAATATAAGTAGGTATAAGTAGTTTTACTTCTATTCTTTATATATTTTAAGATATATATAACACTTTTATATAATTATAATAAGTATTTAAAATTAAATATTTATAATTTTATAATTATATTTTTAATTTAATAAAATTATTAAAATATAGTTTATTAGTTTATTTATATAAGTAAAATTAAGTTAGTTATAACCTTATTAAATTTAGTTATTTTATAGGTAATCTCTAAATTCATCTATATGAGATAGTAGGGTGTGCGGAATGGTGGGGTCTCATAGTACTCATAGTGCTTCTATAGTAAGATGAGGTTCATAATACCGGCTTCGTCTCCCCTTTGCCGGCATACTGAGTTATTCCTACCGCCCCACTACCTACTACGAACGTACCCTAGGGTACTAGAGCTGTATAGCACTTCTCCGTCATCTTCCGTGCCGGACTGTGACTCACATATTAGACCGTGTCATGACCACTTGCACTTCATCATAATCATCCTAATCCTCTGGTTTTAGAAGCCACAACGCTGCAAATCTCAACGCCATGTTTGAAGGCGTACCAAGAGGGGAGCCCGTCAGCACTCGGGCCGCTGAGAGGCCAGCCAGACAGAGCATCGATGGCCGATATGTGACGTTGGCACCGCTCACGTCCTCCTACGCACCAGCGCTATATCAGCACCTCTGCGACCCAAACCATGCAGCCGACTTTGCCTATATGGCCTTCGGGCCATTCGACTCCGAGGAGGCCTTCACCAAGCACATCGCGGACATCAGCGCCACCGATGACCCCCTCTTCTACGCCATAATCCCTAAGACGCACGAGCAGCAGTCTTCCGGGCCACCTGCGGCCGCAGCTGGCTATCTCTCTTTTATGAATATCGACACCACTCACCGCACCATCGAGATTGGGAACGTCATGCTCTCCCCGGCCCTGCAGCGTACCACGGCCGCCACTGAGGCCCTGTATCTCGCCATGAACTACGCCCTGGGCCCGATGGGGCTGGGCTACCGGCGCTTGGAGTGGAAGTGCGACGCGCTCAACGCCCGCAGCCGGCGTGCAGCGCTGCGCCTGGGCTTTCGGTACGAGGGGCTGTTTCGTAAACACCGCATCGTGCGCGGGCGGAACCGTGACACAGCCTGGTTCTCGATTGTCCACGACGATGGTGACGAGGATGATGAGAATGGCGAGTGGCCAACCGTCGATGCTGTGCTGCGGGCTTGGTTGCGTCCGGAGAACTTTACGGTGGATGGTGAACAGGTTCGGACTCTGGAGGCTGTCAGGGAATCTAGGGCAGTGTGGGTGTCAAAATCAGGGTGAACTTGAAGGGGCCAACTATAGAAGATATCATTAGCAGGACGATTAGTGAGTCGATCTGAAGTAACAATACTGATCCTTAAGGCCTCCTTCTACTCTATGTGTATATGAATCCCGAGGAGGCCATATAACCTCTTTTCTATAACCTCTGACTCATATCGTCTTTGCGGCGCCTCAGCGGCTTGTCCTGAGATATTGTGGTGAGTGTTTCCGCTTAGATCCCTGATAGATGCATTGAGGGAACAGGAGAGTGATCGGCAGCAGAACGGTAAATACTAGCTTCTTGACTTGCACCCATTTCCAAGTACGTGTTTACTGTATGTAAGAAAATTAATGCAGCTCATGCGTAGCATGCCAGATGAGGACCTAATACATTGAGGGAGTCTATGGGGTGATGCGCGAAACATCCCGCGGGAACAGCTTCGTCTCGTGAACGTCGCCCAGTCCCAAGAAGCCTTGCAGCAAGCGGTTCAGACCCACCCTATAATTGCCATGAGGATGGATACCCGTCTCGAAAGCCGTCAGGTAGGGCCGCCACATGGGCGAATCCGGATCCAGCGGCGGGCTACGTGTCTGCATGGCCTTCCGCAACAGCCCGTAGTCGTGGATCTGCTGGTATCCCGTGCTGGTCTCCTGTCCGCGGAGGATGAGTCGAACGAGTTGCTCGTTGGGATGCCGTTCGCGTCACTGCTGAATGAGGGATGGGTCTGGAAGGGGCGGAGGTGGGCCGGGTGATCTATGATGAGGAAGACGTCCGTGGGTGGGTACGAGGCGAGCGAGGAACCTTTAGGCGGGTTGCTCATCAATCTGCCGAGGATGGCCTCTTCCTTATGGCTGAGGTCATCACCGTCTCCCGTCTGGTAGTTCGCCTCCTCCCGCAGAATCCGCTTGGCTTCGCTGTACTTGAGGCTGGGGGGCCGTCCGTTCTCATCGGCCCGATTTTGAAGTTACCCGCACAAGGGTACAGCGTCTTTGCAACGTCGATCAGCTTGCTGATCTTTGCTCGCTCCTGCAGCCCCCGGAGGACGAAGACGAAGAATTCCTCGGCAGTATCAGGAGCCTCATGCCAGTCGCTCTATGGCCATGGTGATCTCAAGCGCGATAAACTGTTTCGAGATTATATGAAATGTTTCGAGATTATACATAAACTTAGCACCATGCCACCGTTTCCAATGACACTGAAGGGGTCTTGAACTCTGGCTCACCTCGGCTAGACGCCGTTTCAAGACTTGTTGCTCAGCCCGGAACATGGACCGGATCTCAAAGACTCGCGGCAAATCGGTCGACAAAGCCATTTGCTGATGAAATTCAGCAGTCTGAACCAGCCATGCCCCCAGGTGGTTATAGTAGGAGATGGGAAAGTAGTCGTCATCGCCATCGACCATGTATCCCACCAGTTGTGGCGTGGGAGTCCAGCTGAGGTAAGTTGGACGTCAGTCACTTGAGTCCCGTATCGAACACTGAATCAGGTGGAGAACCCACTTGAAGTTATTCTTGATGTGGAACTCGTCAGTCAGCTCCAGCACCCCGGACATGAGTCTGAAGATAGCATTGTTCGCGGCGACCCGCACATCCAAGATGCGATTGTTGAGCCGCTCGGCCAGGACAAGTCCAGTTGTGAGGTCCTCCTGACGCTCCCCTGGGCCCTCGTCCTTCATGCGACGGTGTGGGACTACCTATGGGCAGATTGTCAACAACCTAGGCGAGGACTGTGAACTCGGTCACTGTGATCGCCTTGTTGAGTCCATCGTGGTTATTTTCCATGTCCTGCACGTGGTCTGAGACGGTGCCAACGACTCGCACGATAGTCTCCCTTGTGGCTTTCTGAGCGGAAACCCAGGCCACCTCGCTGACGTCGCCTTGGCACAGATCGGCGTAAAGAAAATAGCCATCGACCCGCAGGATGAAGGTCAGAGCTGAGCTGGTAGGCCCATGGTCTTGTACGGAATCATTACGGGCGTCGAACTCAACCACATCCCCAAAGCCCGCAGCCTGTATGGCGGGCGCCTGGTTCAAGACGGATATCTAGATATGTCCCTCTCAACTAGTCAGCTCAGGTCGTGCATCGCGGCAAGTAAAATGCTCATAACATTGAAGAGATACTTAGGAAGCAAGGCGGTGGAAAACTCATAAAGCGAGGACGACAGACCTTGCTGTTGGGCACCTGCGTCATCTTGGAAACCACGTCCTCTACTGGCAGTTTCATTATTCTGATCGGCTCAGTTGGTAGCTACAGTAGACCCAGCGAGAACTGCAAAGAATTGCTCTTTTTAAAGCCATCTTCAATCCGGAATATAAACCTCGCTTCCATATCATTCATCACCCGGACGGCTTGAATTCTACCGAGGCATCCAGCCTTCGTGAGACTACACAGCTCCTTCTACAACATGTAAGCACTTGAGCATGGGTATTAGACAGTGTGCCTCGCTACTGTGTTAAACTACATAGACTAAGGTAAAAATCGACGTTTTTGGTGGGAAATGCGTGTGCGTTGGTGGGGTGGTGCATGGAGGGGTACACTGACTTACTTAAAGCATACTTACCCAGCCCCTTTCCATTTGTAAGCACCAAGCAAATTATAACATGCTCTAACTAGAATATACTCTTTAAGGTAGTAGCTTTTTAAGTCTAATTCTTACATAGGAGTATATTGAGGAAAGGCGCCAGGACCTTCCGATGGAACGCTAAACTAAACTGTTCTCAAAGGGCAGGCTGTGTCTTTAAAGAGCGCATAAAGACTAGGATTACATATATAAATCCCTACACCCCAAGTCGCGCGTATCTGACTCTTGTAAACTTCTGTCCCCCCGCCAAGACTTACAACACAAAAGATCAACAGGACTGCGGTGGGACTGCAAACACATGGGCCCCGTCTTTTTCATCACTTCCGGCTGCGGGAGGGGCTGGCCGATCCAGATTGCTGGGTGTTGTTGACCTTGTCCCAAAACGGCCCGCTTGCATTATCTCGATTGTTCAGACGTCCTTCAAAACGTGCTGTTCTTGAGGCTTAAGAGTGCTTAGTAATTTATGTGGCTAGTGTGGCAGTGCAGAACGACTACACCAGTATAATGTATAGGTATTTTGAAGCTATTCAATGTTTCCAAAGTCAACATCCCCTAGCATACAGACAATATTAAACACAGCCTTGCGAGAAGAGCAAGGCGTTAAAGGTCCAGCCACATACAGAGAGGACGACCATTTCCCGTTGGTGCAGATATAGAGCTAAGCATATTTACTGCGTTTACTATAAGCAAACGCGGCTGTGAATAATGGGTGCTGGATTCAACATAATTCTCCCCTTGGGAATGACTAAAACTGGTCATATGGTTTTGTTCCGCTGGATATAACATCATGTTCACCGCGATTCCCTCTTTTCCTCTTGTCTCTTCTCTCCTGGGTTCCCGTGATGACAGAGATCGGCTCCTGGGCACCGAGCATGGGCCTGCAAACAGAAGCGAGAAATTTGAATATTTATTGCTTGTGCTACTAACTTGCCGTTTCCTTTTGAAAGATCCATGGTGGAAACGTGAAGTCCGCGAGGTGGCACTTTACAAGGATTGCTTTTGTGGCGAAAAGACCGGAGACCTTGGGCCAGCTGGCTTCCGCGTTCATGGTGTCACTACATTTTAAAGCGAACTCATCGTTCTCTAGGCCATATACGTCAATGCATCCCATCTAGAACTCTAATATGAGCCTGAGCTCCTCAATTTTGATTTGTTTCGTTTTGAAGGACCGGTGAATCCTCCCTTTCCTGCGCCCATGCATGTTTTGGGGGCTCAAGGTGCCATCCAAGGTGTAATTTGACCCTGGGGAAGTACCAGGAAAGTACATGCGTAGACTGCAATCAAATTGTGAGCAGAGGTCTCGCCTAGACACACACAATTCGAAACTAACTACACATCTTCACTCTCGTCTCGATAACTCAAGGTCCAAATCAAAAACACCTACAGAACTGTCAACTCATCTTCAAAAGCCCCATCTGTTTCCTGCATCAACTATGATGGAGGCACATGCATTACACGGTCTATCCACCCATCAGGAGGGCTTCACTTTCCTGGCACAACTTTCAGGGCCTTCCTTCTACTGTGTCAGGCCTCATAATTCCCCAGGCGACTGCTTTACGGGGAACCCAATACCCCACCTCTGGCGAGGATTTTGTAGCGTTTCCGCGCCTAGGAGAGGCGATCAAGTTGGCGGGCCCTTTCCCCCGCCCGCGCCGCCCACTCCCTCTCCGCCGCCGCCTCCTCCGCCAATCTTCTCCTCTTCTCCTCTTCTCCTCCTCCCTCCTCCTCTCCTCCCTCTGCCTCCGGTGGCCGTTCACCGCCTCCGCCGCGTCGGCCTCCTCCTTGTCCAGCTTCGCCTTGACCAGGCGCCTGGTCCTCTCCTCCTTCTCGGCCTTAGCCGGGTTCCACCACGCGGCGATCTCGCGGCGGGCGTTGAATATGGCGAGGGCGAAGGCGGCCAGGGAGACCACAAACGCCGCCGCCGCGATGGTGTGGGCTCAGCCCCAGCTCGCCCCCGCCGCCTTCTCCTGGGCCTTCACCAGCCGCTCGAGGAAGGCGAGGATCTTCTCCTCGCACGTCGTCGTCGTCTTCTCCTAGGAAACCAGCTAGTGTATGCGCAGTCTCTGCGCGGCCTGAGAAGAAAAGAAAGGAAAGGAAAGAAAAACTCCCCAGGAATCATCTCTGTTTTTCTTGCCCTCCCTAGTGCGGAATGCGCAGTTCGCGACTTCCTTCTCGTGGACGGAAACTCGGACATGGCCTGGTCCAGCCTCCTCCAGCGGAGGCTTTCCTCCTGGAGCGCACTTCCAGGTAGGAGCTGGTGTCCCTGTGGTTGGCTGGGGTGACTTCCTTCCTCGATTTCGACACGGCAGGAGGAAAAGGGACGCGGGTCCATTCTTTGCGTTGTTGGGTAGGGGCAAGGAGGCAACGAGATGGTCTAGCTGAAGCATTGACATAAATGACAGGTTTGGCTAGAAGACGAGATGGGTGTTGAAGACGAGGTGGCATAGAAGACGAGATGGTCTGGAGAGGGGTTTGTTTGGAGGACGAATCTATCTGGATGGCGATTTGAACTGAGTGGCAAGTTTGGCTTCTTGGAATTTGGTCTGCATGACGAGATGAAGATCGGATTGCAACTTGGGTTGGATGGAAGCCGGTCAATAACCCTTATAAAGGTCTAATTGATCTGTCAATACGCCTCTTCGAAACACAGAGGGGGGATGTTGCCTACCCGCGCCACCAGGATGTGTGTGATGATGCTGATGGGCTCGAGATCGGCATCTGGTGTAGAGGCGGGAGCTGCTGTGGCTTCCGGATGATTGCGTCGCGTATGGATGGTTGGGGATTGACGCGGGGCCGGAGTCGGAGTCGAAGTTGTCTTCAGAACCAGAATTACTGATGGTGTCGTCGCCGGGCCAAGCTTTGTTTTCATCATAGACGGCCATGCCAGCCGCGACGGCAGCATTTAATGCATTTATGCGGCGCGCGATAATTCCGGGAGGACTTTGAATGTGATATCGACTATGGTAAGGATTCTCGGAATCGATCAAGGCCATACTCTCGGCCATAGTGACGGTAGCAATAAACACAGGGTAGGAGGGTGAGGTAGAAATAGCTGTGGCGATAGCCCGGACAGCACGGGCGACAACCAGTTCGCGCTCAGGCTCAAAAGTGGCAACGAAAATAGGTAATTCGACAGAGTCGGCGGCAGCCCTGCAAGCTTGTTCCATCGTGCGCGTCGGTTCGGGGGGCATGTAGAGGCCTTCGTCCGCTACTGTTGAACGTGGGGGAACCCGGGCACGAAGGGTCTCGAGGTTTTCTCTGTCTCCACTTGTACGTGTTAGTCACCTGCTATGAGCCTAAAGTGTTGCATTCTGAAACATTCCCAAACATGAAAGAATTGGGACCCGTAAAAGGAGAATAATGGTGCTTACGGAGGAGGGAGCGGAGTTGGCGGTGGCTCGAAACGCCTTCTTCTGAGAGAGGCACTTCGGATACGTTCGATCCTTTCGGTACGTGCAGCATCTCGGTCTTGTGCAGCCTTGATCTCGGCTTGTGCAGCCTTCATCTCGGCTTGTACGGCCTTGTTCTGGGCTCGCACATCCAGTTTGTGCTGTATCCAGGCTAGGAAACGGCAGAAAGGGCACGCCATTGAGGTTAAAGCACTGGAATCTTTGGTGGTATGTTGGAGTAATTGCGAGAGGTGGCTGGGATGATCAGACGAAAAAGTAGAGGGTAGTCAAGATTAGAGTAGACAGATTGAGTGATTCTGTCAAGAAAGTCTGTCTTTGAGCTGGTCAATGGGCTGCTGACGGACGGAGTGTGTTTGTTGTGGTGTCGTGGTGACAGACGGGCAGGGGCAGAATTGAAGGTAAGGGAAAGGAAGGGAAGACAGTCGGGAGAAGGTGGGAGAAAGCCAGCTCACTACCTGCATTCGTCCCTTCAATTCCTTCAATTTCAAAATCTACCTGCCGAAAGATCTGTGTAGGCACTTGGGCAGTACCATCAAGCACTGCCAGTGGGAAGGCGCGATGTCTTTCTGGGCTGATTTTGATGGCGCCATCCTGTCCCTGGCGCCTCGACGGTGCCGCACGTACGCTCTTGACACTTTCTTCTTTTGCATCCATCTGACATGTTCCCTGCCCCAAAAAGTCTGACTGCCTACAATGTACCTAGGTACTTATCTACCTAGGTAGGTACCCACTCGAGGTACCTAGATACAGCACGCCAAAGCTCGCCACATTTGCACTGTACCTAGACGCCTGGCTGAGCACCCGCCCGGCTGCGTTTGACCCCCAAGTGGTGACTGCCTCGTGCCTGGAACCGAGATGGGTGAAAGAAAACGTGTTGAAGTACATTTACCCAGACTTTGGTCTGACCTCTCTCATTGCCCTCAGTTCTCAGATGCTGGAGAGGTATCTGCTGGAAGTGTGTCCTTTGGCAGAGTGGTGTGTGAGACCAGACCACGGCGGACCTGTCACGCGGTCTTTCGCTCTTGCCTGCGCCTTGTCCAAGCCTCCCGTAGTCCGTTCCCAGGTATGACTCTACCATCGTTGGTGGAAGCCCTTCTGTGGCCGCGTGGATCTGCTGGATGTCAGCGTGTGTCCGTCTATGGATATTTGGTTCAGGAAGTACCTACCCAGGTGGTAAATACATGTTCGGCCGCCTTGAACGCCCCATTTATGTCAGGCGTCAAGGAAATCCGCAGCACTGAAGTGGGAATGTGCAAGGTACCCGTACCCATCTTCCTCACTGGCAGTTTCTCATGCCACTGGGACCCTCTGTCCTCTCTAGGTGCTCCCACAGCTACAAAGATGAACTCATGACCTTTACTGGTCCTCTTCGTTCCTTGAAACTACACTGACGAGGGATCATGGTCGTTCTTAAAGACGGGGACTGTGTGTGGTTGGGCCTTCTTGCAAGGCTATGTTCAATATTGTGTGTGTGCTGAGGGATGTTGGCTTTGAAAATAGCTTCAACATAGATGCCTATAGCTTCAGCCACACTATATTTTTCCTTTACACTATATAACTATCTTTTAGTTTAGCTACTTATTTCTTCCCTAGTAGTTTAGAGCTTATATATAAAGTCTTTAATAGCTTTATATATATCTTTATAGTTCTTTTAAAGAGGAACTTTAAATTTATTCTTTCCTTTATTTCTATTATACTTTTTTATATTATTAAAAAGTTAATAGTTATTAATAATAAAAATATAAATTTAAAGAAAAATAAGTTTATTATATTTTCTTTTTATTTTTTTATAAATTATTTTTAAAACTTTTTTTAAAAGTTTTAATACTTTATTATAAAAGTTTTAAAGGTAGTATATTATAAATTATTTTTTTATTTTAAGTTTTTTTAAAGTTAATAATTATATACTTAAATAGAGGCTATTGTCGGTTGGTTTAGCTTACATGTAAGAAGTGGTTAGTTGAAGTAGTGTGGATTGGTAATAGTTAAAAGGTTTGCCTGTGGGCGGTAAAGCGCCTAGTTGGGTTGGTTAGACTTGCTGATTAAGCTTAGTTTGTGTGTGTGTATGGGCTTATTAGCTTTATAGTAGCTAATTTACTATAACCTACTATTCCTATATTGGTAACTTTTTAGTTTTTTAAAATTAAGGTCCTTTATTTCTTTTTTTTAATTAATTAGAGAGCTCTATTTATTAATAAAGTAGGTTTTAATTAAATTACTTAGAATTACTATTAAATATATAATTATAATTTACTTGATTTAAGCGCCTAAAAAACCCTTTAAATTAATATTTTATAAATTACTTAAATTGCTTAAATTTAAATTGTTTTAATAGATAAAATTAAGTATAAATTATTAATTAATTAATTACTTATTAGGTTGTTATTAGTTAGTTATTAATTATTAACATTTAGTTAGTTAGCTAATAGTCGTTTAGTTAATCCTTTTAATAGTTTTTTCTTTTTATAATAAATTATTACTTACTTTATTAGTTCTTTATTTTTTATTTAATTAGCTATATAGGTAGTTATAGTATTTCTTTTTTATTTAAGTAGGGTATTTAAATAAGGGTAAGGAGAGCTTTAAGTACTAGTTTAGTATTTAGCCTAATATAAACACTACTTAAATAAAGGTTATTATAAAGGTCCTTAAGAAGTTTTAACTTTACTCACTTAAGGTAGTTATTTTAGTACTTAAAGGTCTTATAGAAGCACTAAAAGTAGTTATTAAGGTTATTTTAAAATAAGTTATTAATAAGGTTACTAATAAACTATTAAACTTTATTATTATTAGACTTAATAGCTATATATTCCTCTTTATAAATATTACTAATATACTTCTTTATTTTATTTTTTAACTTAAACTTCTTCTTTTTATTAGGGTAGTATAGGTAGGAGTGCTAATATATATTTATAATAGTTATAAATGATTTTATTTTTAGAGAGGATTTAGGATTATAATAGCTATAATGTTAGAGTGTTTTATTAGTAATTATAAAAAAGAGAGAGAGAAAAAAAGAGAAGTTAAGAAAAAGAGTAAAAATTACTTACTTAGTTAATTACTTAAGTAATATAAAGATAGATAGGTAAATAGATTAATTAATAGATAGTTAAATAGGTTAGTTAATATAAAGCTAAAAAGGTTGACTAATAGGTAGCTAATTTAAGGGTCTAATAGGTAGGCTTAAATTATTAATTGTATATAAGAGAGAGAGAAAGAGTTATTATAAGAGAGAGTTGTAAGACTTATTTAATAAAGGGGTCCTATTTAGTGGTTAATTATACTTAGGTAGCCTAAACGACTTACCTTTTAGAAAGGTTATAACAATAATAATAGTATTATTAATTCATCTTTTTTAAACTATAATAATAAAGTAGTCTTATTAATTTATCCTTTAAAAGAACTTAATATTTAAGTAGCTTAAATAATTTATCTTATTATTAAAAGTTAGTTAGTAATTAATTAGTGTTGGTTAGCTTACTTTATATATAAGAAGTAGTTAGTTAAAGTAGTGTAGATTAGTGATAGTTAAAAGGTCTGCCTGTAGGCAGTAAAGCGCCTAGTTGGGTTAGCTAGACCTGCTAACTAAGCTTGGTCCATACATACACACAGGCCTACTAGCCTTGCAGTGGCTAATCTACTACAGCCTACTATTCCCACAGCTATAATATTAGACTTTATAGATTTATTTAATAAAAGTTTTATTAGTATATATATATATATATATATATATTTAAAGGGATAATTTTTAATTAGGCTTCTTTTAATATAATTTATTTATATAATAATTATTTTTAAATTTAATTTTACTATATAACTTTTTTATAATAATTAAATTATAAATTACTTTTATTTATAATTAATATTATTATTAAAATAATATTTTTAACTTTATTTATATATTATAAAGTTAAAATTATAAGTATTTATTATATTATAACTATTATTATTAATATTATATTCTTTTTAAGTATTAAATCTTAAGTATTTATTATTATATAAAGATACTATATATATCCTTAAATATATATAGAATAGAAGTGAAACTATATAGATGTCTATGCTTTTTACTAGTCTATACTAGCCTTAAGATCTCCATTTACATCTTATTAACCCCCTCACCATCCATCAACCCTTGTACATAACTAGGGCCAACGACGATATATCCTTCCCTGTCATGATGCCATCAAAGAATCATGGGCACTGGTGCGCCTGCGATATAATCCACAACATCGCCGGTTCCCATCCCAGGAGGCCCCGAGCCAATGTGTCCTTTGCCTTTCGTGAACATATTCCTCCGTCCAGCCAGCTCACCGAGCGATGTCCCGAGGAATCGCACGACCTCGGAGTCGCCGCCGATATCCACCAGCACCATGTCGGCTATGTCCTCGTACGGGCAGTCTCCCCCCCCCCCTCCCGCGGCTTCTCTTCCAGGTGGGTGCTAATGCTCAGGTACAGCTTTTGAAAGCCCTCGGGGACCGGCTCAGGGACCATGTCGAAGAGCTCCCCGGTGTTAGAGCCGTCCGCGAGCACGGCGCCGTTCCACTTCCGTTGGAACCGCGTGTGGGCCTTTTCGCCCGGAGGACCTCGAAGATGGCCTGGGGCACGGAGTAGTAGGACGGAGTGCACGGCGAGTCGTGCCGGGCGAGATGTACCCAGCGGCAGAAATTGGCAAGGTCTCGCCTGATGGTCATGAGTCTCCTCCTGGCAACCCACAGCGAAGTAGTTGGTTGTTGCTACTGTACAACCTGCACAAGTTCGAAAATTCATCTTCCGCGTTTGATTCCTCGTCGCCTTCATAGAAGTCGACAGACGACTGCACACGAGCTTAAACAGTTGACGACTCGAGACAAAACCGTCCGTGCATCGAAAGTCAGTTGGTTGCGTTCCGCACGAAATAGTACATGATTCAAAAAATATACATTGTAAACTTGAACTTTTCAAGGTAGTCGGGCTTCGTCTGTAGCCTAAAGGCGAAAGAATACAGGTAACAGCGAATGGTAGCACAGGTTGACAAGTATGAGTGGCCGCAGCTATATCGGTTCTAGTTAGCGATGAAGACCTACCGTAGTGGGATCCGCAGGTAGTTGTTAAGGTAAAATCATTACATAGATACTGTAGGATTGCGCCATGCGCGCGAATGGCTGTGCTAGCGGGTATTAGATATCCGTGGGACTAGGGACCATCCGGGATATCTGCCGTTTGTTGCTTTAAGACTTTGGGATATAAACGGCTCTTCGGCCTGCCCCAGACGATTGGAGAAGTACGGTAGGTGGAATCTAATTCTTCAGTCGACCAGCAGCATTGCACAACGCCGACGCAACCTCCTCCACAATAATTTGCGCTGAGAACTCGCCTCTTCGATCCATGAAACAGGCTTCTACCACCTCTCGCATATAGAGACCACAACAATCCTCGATATCCCGAAGGTATAAAAACGCCCTCTCCTTCGCTCTTTTCACTCCGGGCCCCGTGTGTTCGTACGGCAGTTTTCTCCTGGCTCCTAGCTGACAGAGGAGAATTCCCAATTCCAAAGCTGGATCTACTTTTCGGCCCAAAGCCTCCTCTTCATCCGGCATCTCCAGAGTTTGTCGTTCCGGGTGTGGACTCCCGAAACCGAATTCCACCCATATAGAACTCGTTACTTTAGGTCCCCATTTGTCAGCATGCTCAGGGGCATTATCCGGCAGGGTCCTCCCAAACAGCTGATAGCAGTCCAGGTCACGGTGGATGGAATCGTCGAGATTAATTGACATAAAGTGAACATGGGACAATGCGATCTTCGCCGCCAAGCAGATTCTGCTTTCTGGTCTAAATGTTTTATCTTCAACAAGACTGAGCAATCGCTGGCTTCTGGCCAAGTCGCGTGTGTTTCTGACCCGCTGGAGATAGTATATCTCCTCCCCGCGGCGCGTCATCTGCCCAATGACGTTGAATTCCGGATTCGCACTTCTCAGGCCGGCAAGATACTGAGGAAGGCTGGTTATTTCCGTGTGCTCGCCCGTTGTGATGGTCGTCGAGACGAGGTATTCTGGGCATGGATTTCCGTCGGGCCTCTCAACTCGAGGCATCAGGCATGTAACCATGGCGTTTTTCTTGCGCTGAGGATCCAGAAACCCGCCCGCTTCCATTCTAGCCATCATGTCTTCGGGCTTCTCCTCAAGTTTCACTGCCAGGTTCAGTGGCTCAGGGGAATTGATAGCCTGTACCGCGATATGCAGACCTCTCAGTCCAACTCGAGTATCCTCCGTCTTCTCCCACAGATTCGGTTTATTACTCATGGGACGCAGCTTCTTGAACGGGTCGTCCGGAACCAGAAGCGGCATCATGTCCCTGAGCACTCGAATCGCCTCCTTGAGTTGCTGGATCAGATCTTCGAAATCGGCTTTCCCATGGTCCGCCCAGGCAATGAGTTTACCTGAACCGACATCTTTCTGTGCCTTCTTAGCTCGATTTTGCATGTGCTCTTTTCGTTTCCTGAAGAACTCTGCTGTAACCAAACTTGGGGGGCCCGTGTGGTCGGGTCTCGGCGCGTGCTGTATCTCCCCGTCTGGCGTCGTATGGATAGCATCTGAGCCGCCTTTATGTTGACCCTTGTTCAGTGGTAAACCTATCCCAGCAAGAGCACCTCCTAAGTCAACAATAGCAGACCCTACGCCTCCACGTTCCTTGGCCTTGTCTGACGGTTTCCTCAGCCTCCTCCGCGGCCGGTTCTCTCCTGACACAGGATCTTCAATCCCCGGGCCATGATCCTGGGTACAGGAAAGATTGCTGCACCCAGTGTCAAAGTGTCGGACAATGACATAGCACTTGTTGAAAATGTTGGTAATTTTGATGATTCGGTCTCCTATCTGTTGCCGGCTCCACGCTTGGCCAGGCCGAGTCTGAACTTTGCCAGGACTGGCTTCTTCTAGACACGCCTTATACTGCTCTAGATGACTCCCGAAGACCCATTCTTGAGAGTAGAGGGCCTCCATGGAGATTTCGAAATCGTATCCGAAATCCTTAACTGTTCGATAAAACTTCCAGGCATATTGTCCGGCGCCATACAGGGCCATCACCGCCCTCAGCGCTGGACTCACTGCATCCGGAACCACAACCATGGCGTTCTGTGTCAAGCTGATGTAGGAGACACGCGGCAGGCTTCGCGGGTCTGGGCATGGGCACGTCGTGTTGAATGAGCTTCAGGAGGACGGAGCTGAAGAAAACTGTTGATACGGAATCACGCCAACGCGTCTTTGCTGATGGGCAAGCATGAGTTGCGTGGTGAGGTGTACGTGGTGAGATAGTGACCTTGAGATATGGGTTGTATTGCAAGGTCCGTACTCTATCTTATCTCTTTAGGAGGAAAAGTGAGGGAAAAAGAGTGGAAGGGACATGGAGGTATTTCAAGGAGCGTGTGACCCGGGGTCAGTCGTGCCGATTGGCCTGTAGGTGACACAGGTGCAGGCAGCCAGGGTCGGCCCACCCAGCTACCACTTTCTGGTCCTAAAGCGCCACGGCGGCATGCGTTGAATACCTATTGGCCCATCAACGCCATCAGGCCCGACACAGGTGAGCCGTTTCCTGCACTGACACTTATCTGGCTTCATACCCCGCTCCACAGGCAACCAAACACGAAGCTGAAGTTCCACTTGTTGTTCAATCTTTGCGCAAGTTTCATCCACCAGAGACACGTTGTTCACCGCAGCAGGCTCCTGGCGCCAGTCTGTCGTCAACCTGTAATTAGAGCAAATGCGAGGGCCAAGCAGTCAAAAACACAACAGCAAGAACGACTACAATTCTACCAAACAAAACTTATCTAGGCCCGCCTTGGCAAATTACAATGAACGCTTGGCAAATTGCAATGAACGCAGCTGGAGCCGACCAGAACCTCCGTCAGGCGCATGACAGGCTCGACGCGGAGGCTTTTCGGCTTCGTGCTTGGACTGAAAGAGTTATGGCAGATCCCGAGAGGAATCAACTGCCACCCGAAGTCTCAAGCATCTCCAACCAGCTTTCATCTCAACTAGTCAACCTCCAAGAACGCCTGAAGAAACGGCGAGATTCGTCGACACTGCGGAATTTGGCTCGCCGTTCGATCTACAACCCATCCCGACAACGGCTCTTGTTTGATGATGAGTTACGGGTCTGCCAGCAACTGAACAATGCCCTGTCGGAGTATTATCCGCCGGAAGCAGCTCTACTTCAGTCGATCAAAACCCGGCAGGATGCTCTGAGCGCAGATATCGATCGTATCAGGTACGAAACCATTCAATTAAGGCATGACGTTCAGATCATACCGCAGGACACTAGAATTAATAGTCGGGGACCTGGACCGCGGGTTAACAACCTTCGGCTGCACCGTACCAATATATCCGCTCAGGATCCGTATAGTCTTTTCCAAGCCTTTGACGCCAATAACGTTGAGCTCCATGATGCAAATCTACACTTCGGTAAAGGTCTGGATCGGCTGGCAGCCCACTCGGAGGAAGAGAGCGATGAAGCGAACTTACTTGACTATGGCCAGCGCAGAGGGAGCGACCCTGACACAACAATGGGCAAGCGATTCCCTACCATCGAGAGACTCCACACAACTTCTGTGAAAGGGCTCCAGCTTCTCGCGGAAAGCCCAGACATAGAGGGCCATGAAACGGAAGAAGCAGCAACTGAGCTCCGATCTTGGGGAGTTGGGATTCTTGAAGGCCCGCTGGGACTGGATCGGATAGTTCAACCCAATTCTGCATACGAGACAGGCGTACCGCCGCTGGATGTCGGCTTTCAACGGCTCTCGACGAAATTTCTGAAAATCCTGCTCAACATTGGTAGGTATAAGACTGCACACGTGGAGTCGGGCAACATTCGAAAGTTGCTAACTGCCTTAGAATTCTTGATTGTTTCACTGCAGTTGGACACCCCTAGCACAATATCCTATCTTCACGATCTCGATCGAATATTTGATATGGAGGCTCTTAAAGACGATATCCAGCATCTCTCCGTTCCCTTCACGAACCTCGAAGAAGAAACCCCTGCGCAATATTTCGTTGATATAATCTATAACGAGATTGAGGATCTTTATGATATTTCACCGGGTATAGCATCTCTTCGACATCTTTGCAACTATAAGGAACCACGTCTTATCAAGAGACGGTCCTCTAGCGTGACATCGGCCGAAGACTTTGCGGTTGAACGACTTGAACGTAATGCCGAATTGATCGAAGAGAACCTTCAACTAAGCGCAGCTATTGCAGCATCGCTACGGCAAAAGGAGAAGGAGGAACGAAAGGAGAAATCGACCGAAGACACGATGGCCTCACTTTTCGAACAGGAGATTATGCGGCTCCAGGAATGGAAACGCAATTTGAAGGTAGAGGTCGGATTGCCAAGGGAGATCTCATCCATATTGCTCGAGTTACAGAGATCGCTATCTAGTGAGTAATCCTGTGTGCTTTTGCAGGACTTATCGATACTAACAGCCTGAAGAATTGAAGAGAGGCTTCGATGAAGCCGGTCACGAAAAGAGCGGCCCTTTGGATGCGCAGCTCAAGATAGCACTGGATGACTTCTCTTCCCACGTTCATCGGCTTGATGAGCTTTCGATCGAGAAAAGGCCGCATAAAGACGACAGCCTAAAGGGCCAGAAGCGTTCTAAAGGAGGCGGAGAGGATGCGCTGATATCTGGTGCCGTAAATATACCGAGCCCGAGAGCTTAGTATAATCTTTCATACTAATATAAGTACCTATACTTCAATACATATTGATGATCGCATGAACGAGTGCCGCCGAATTTATTCCACGACGCCCGATTTGATTGGCCGACTTTAGATTTAAGTCGCTTCTTACTAAGATTAAAGTGTTGCTAGTTTAGGTCCCTCCGGGCTTCTTATAGTTAAACTTCGCCCCTTTTTACTTAGGTGATAGTGATCTTATTCACGCTAAGCTTATTATTATATTTTTAATAATTATAATTCTATTTAAACTTAAATTAAAAAAAGAAACTTATATTTTTAATCTTAATAGGTCTAGCAACCAACCACCACAAGCTCATTATATGTGTGTATGGAACCTCCCTTATTAATCTAAGCTGTTTTAGAGCCTTGGTAGCTGGGAGGAGGAGAATGATTGTGTGTATCTCACAGTGTAGGAAATGCGGATGAACAAGCAATTCAATCAGCGCCAGTGGTTTAGCGGTAAAATCCATCGTTGCCATCGATGGGCCCCCGGTTCGACTCCGGGCTGGCGCAGACTTTACATACCTTTTGCAAAATCCAACATCTCGATTGACCGAGATCTTTTTTTGTCGCCCCACACACGTGCAGGATCTCCGAACAGAGCTATCGCCATCATCTTGTATTGGGTTTTGATAATTAGCGTTCAGGACCAGCCGGATTGAAGTTGAGGGGAGAAAAACGCCCGAAAGATTGAGCGGAAGCCACAAAGAAATATGCAACACCCCGCACTTAGGTAGGCAGCATGCTGTTCACCCGACTGGTTTTGCATCCTCTGTGCCTGCAATCGCTTGAGAGGAATCGCGGCCAGGGTCAGACCCTTGTGGCACGATGCTGTGGTAGAACGTGACAGAGTTGAGCTTGTAAACATCTAAACCGCGCGAGAGGTAATCTCGAACAGTTCTGATGAAGATGTCGTGGTTAGTTCTACGGGGCTATCCCGTTGCCGGATCTAAGCAAAACCAATGAATATCTCTTCAATTCCTGCTGAATTGAATTGGTACGATGTCTTGTGCCGGCTGAAAATGAACATTACCAAACATTGAACGCCACACAGCTTTCCAAGTGGGCCACCTGAAGGCGACATCGAGTCCAGGCAAGCATACCTTACAAGACACTATGGCGCTCGTATCACCCTCTCGTCTGGATACGATCAAATAAGTATGATATCGTGGCGAGTATGCGCACCGGTAACCAAGCGAGACACCAGCGCAAAATACCATCAGCAGGCGAGTGGCGTATCTCTGCGCCAGTTGTCCCATCATCACCAGGCTTGAGCAGCCTCGTTCCTCGCATTCTGATACGGACTACCGTATCCAGGTGTTTGATGTTCAAGCGCGTGTTCTCTTGAAGGGCCAACATGCGAGCCGTTTTAATGGCACTCTTGACTTGCCTCCCATTTAGATTCCATTGCGACAGTGTCGTCAAATCATCGGGCTCGAGGTTGACGTCTTTAGACGGCAACCTCTTTACAAAGTTGGACCAAATCTCTCTCCGGGCGCTTGACGTAAGATCTCGATATGAGAGGATAATGTCGATCCGTGACTCGAACGCTGCATCGATGCTGTCGATACGGTTCGTTGTCAAGAAAAGTACACCTCTGTAGTACTCCAGGAGAACCAAGAAAACTAGTTTCCAGATTTAGTCGTGCTTCTTTTTCAAGGAAAGCTCATTGAAGACTCACTGGAAACCAACTCGTTACGCTGGATGTTATCACTCGTTCGTTGTTCCAGGAATATGTCAGCCTCATCTATCAGCAACACTGCATTCCAGTAGGCACAATGCTCGAGGGCTTTCTTCAGCGAGGACTCAACCTTGCCTGCTTCGACCCCAAGGTCTCCCGCTCTAATTCGATACAGGGGACGTTGAAGGTTTTCGGCGACTAAGAAATGTCAGTAGGGGGCGTTTTAGCTTGAGAGGACATATCTGAAATCATGTCATCTCACCGGCTTCTGCTGTCAAGGTTTTACCGACTCCAGGTGGACCACCGAGAAGCAAGATCATGCCTTTCCCTATTTCATACAGTGAGCCAGCAGCCCCTGTGACGGGAGAGCATGGTGAAGGTGTGCATTGACATACCTTTCCCTTGGATGAAATCGTCGAATACGTGGTCAGAGACCCCATGCTGAGACACCAAAGCCAGAAGGAGACTCTTCTCTTCTGTTTCAAGAACCAAGTTCTCGAGTATCCCATGGTTCCACGAAATGGGCCGCAGACCATCGATATTGAACTTGTGCCACGACTTGTTTTCAAGAGCAAAGCCTTTGACCTTTGGTACCGCCAATATCAAGTCGCTTTCATCAAGTGGCGGTATTGTCGGCGAGTCTCGTTTCTCCACAATGCTCAGATTCTGACCTTGAGGATTTGACAGTGCCGTGAGTACATTATCATCCTTTGCATTCAGCGGCGCCAGAGACGGTTTTGGACTGTGAAATTGATGGTATGCCTTCGCGTCCAAAATAACACGTTCTGACAGCTTCATGGACAAGTTTAGTAGATGTGTATGTTACATAGTGGTGGAATGTGGGCTTACGTATATTGTATCGTCACTCCCATAATCAAAGAGTCGTTGTCGGGCGGAGACCTTTGCGCGCCCTTGGAATATCCGCATGTGGCACCCACAGAGGCTGTGAAACATCTTGCCGCGCTCGGTGAGGTGGATCCTTATCTGCTTACTTTCACTGTGGGTGTTCAGAGGAAACACGCTGAAGTCACTCAAACGCCGGATGCCTTCGTAAGGCGGCATTTGCCACTTCTTTTTGCGCCATCCGCGTTTCTCTCCATCCCAGTCCAGAATAGCGACCTTCAACAGAAGGATCTCACCGGCAATCGTCTCGATCTTAGAAGCCTTCCTGAGTTTTCCAGCACTCAGTATGTCATCTTTTGACCGCACAACAATATCCCCGGGCTTGTATGCAAGGAGGATGTGATCGAAATCGATGTAACCAGTGGTCTTGAAGTCTTGAAAGGCTCGGAACGAAGTTGTCAACTCTTCAGACAACAGCCCGATGAGGAGTTTGAGTAATTCTTTTCCATCTTTGTCCTTCTCGGCCTTCTCACTGGCAATGAGGCGATCCCAACGATGAACAAAAGGCTCAAATCCGGCGTTGAATTCGAAGAGTGGAGCCTCGGGGTCGAGTTCTAGATAACCCTCAAACACCACGGACAGCCTCTCCTTCAGAATTTGATTCTGAACTTGGATTGAAACTCCCCGAACTTTTCCCTCTACTCTGTGTTTGTGAACGATGGCGAAAGTCCTGGTAGGGTCTGTAGTCTTTTCGCCTTTTCTGGCCTGGTGTTGCTGAAGTTTGACTTGCGGGGGCACAATAGCTGTGAATACCCATGCCCGTCCTTCGTCTGATTCTCTTGTCGAGTAGAGATTCAGCACCTCGATCCTCCCACCCACATCCTCCTCCTCTGCGGGGACGTCATTCTCATCCGTGTCGCTTTCGTCCACGTCGTTCTCATCCGTGTCGTCCACCTCATTCGCATCCATATCATTCCCAGTGCTCTCTCCATCATTTTCGGCAGTGGCCGTTTCTGACTCCATTGCTTCAGATTCTTCGATTGGAAATCGACGCCCTTTTCTCCCATTCCCGGGACTCATGAGGCCACTTGTTATGCTCTCGCTTTCGATTGCCTGGTCTGAGCGAAGGGCAGATGTTGCATAAGCCATGTCGTTTATAGTCTTTCGCAATGTTTCGACACGTCCAGTCAAAGTGATGTCCATGACACCATGCCTTGTTGTTTGTGTTGGCTACTGTCGGTATCGTATTGTTTTCTGCCTTGTATCCGTTCTTGGATAAAGATGCGAAGAGTTCAAATAGACTCCCAACATTGGTGCCCATCAAAGTCTCCTACCTAAGTATCTTGGAATTGTCTGCAATGCTTCCAGCTAGTACCTTCTGGGTTGCCGTTATGCACGACACGTGTCAAATGTCAGTAGTTCGCAGCTGAGATTGCCAAAGTAGGATACATTTGCAGGCCACGTAGGCCGGGCGGGTCCTGCAGGGTGACTGTGTCACCAATGCAGCCGCCGTGGCCCTCGCAACCTTGGAAGCAATCGGGCCGCTGCATATACTGAGACACCCATCGCCGACTAATAATCAGGCTGGGCAGACTGTGAGGCGATGGTGCAATTGGCACTGATGCAGTTGCTGCGCATTGCAAGGAATTCACACAGTACAGCATTGGACTCACCAGTGAAATGACCTGTGATCGGCGCGTGTAGTTGCAATTTCTTACTCATACAAATGTTTCATCTTTAGCGAGTCGGAGTTGCGCACTCAACCGTTTTGACGAAAATCAAGTGTATCAACCACCCTGTACCTGCTCATCCCCCCAGAACCGGCCACTGCACGCCATGGACGTCATCCATAGTCTGGTCGCGGACGAGCTAGCCGCGGCAAACTTCAGCGACAAATTCGAATATGGTGAGCAGGACCTGGGATCCGATGAAATTCGTGTCCTCGTGGTCATGCCAGATTGCTATCAAGAAGATCGCAAAGACATCCATTGTTACATGATACGAATGGATCTGGCCGCAACGGAGCGGTTTGGACTGGACAAATACCCATTTGTGGCATTGTCCTACGTTTGGGGATCACAGGAGGACAAAAAGTCAATTTTCATCAATGGAAAGACGATCCAAGTCACCAAGAATCTCTATGAGGCCTTGCTCCACATACGAGAGGTACTCTCGCCTGTGCCGATGTGGATAGATGCGGTTTGCATCAATCAGAACAATGACGAAGAGAAAGGGAAACAATTGAGAAAGATGACCGCCATATACCGTCAAGCTTCCGCCGTAATTATTTGGCTAGGTCCTGCTGAAGGGGACGACACAGATCCCTACGGCGTTTATCGCGGCGAGTTTGCATTTGCAGCAAATTTTCTTGCCTCGGTCGGCGACACACACGCTTTTCTATCCAAGCAGGAAGATCACGCGAGTTATAACGCCTGGGTTCTGTCCAAAGGCCCAGGGCTGTCACCCTTGCATGCAGTCTTGTGGGCTATCTGTTCTCTGCCCCTGTGGACACGAGTTTGGATCATGCAGGAGATTGTCCTAGCTGGGCCAGACGCTTTCATCCTATGGGGCCAAAAGATAATAGACTTTAAGGTCATGGACGAACTTCTAAAAGCCCGTCAGCAATTTCGACCAGTCAATCTCCTGTCCGAGGACTCCGCGGTATCTTTGAAACGATTTGTGATGGCCACACAAATCATCGGCCTTCGATTCAAGAAAGTGGGGCTTTTGGAGGCAATGCTTGCAGTCCGGTACAGATCGGCTTCAAACCCGCATGATTATCTCTATGGTCTTCTCGGCTTCGCGGAAGATGGACGTCTCTTCGAGCCTGATTATAAGAAGCCTATTCAAGATGTCTTCCTCGAAATCTTCGATGCCATTATGGGGACAGGGACCAACTTGGGAAGGAGAATCAATGTCGAGCAAGCAATTAACCTTGATATTCTCAGTACGTGTGACCGCGGTTGGCAGGAGGTGTCATCCACGCCAGAACGAAGCGAAACCCAAGAGTGGCCTACTTGGCTCCCAGACTGGTCCTGGACGCCAATCAAGCAGCTGTCAGATGATTATTGCTCAGATGACATGATGTATCAATCTCATGTGCGGTCCCTGCTCTTGGACTCGCAAGACTACACGCCAATCGATCTCAATGCCTGTGGATCAAAACACAATGCCAAGGTTTCTCGGAGTGTGTTGCAATTGAGGGTTCACGGCATAGAGTACGACACGGTGAGAGAAATAATTGGCCATGAGACTGGGGTTGACTTTGACAATACGGATTTCTGGGTGGATTTCGTCAAAGAGAAGTGGGATAAAGGTCTCCTCAACCTGCACAACGTGTATGAAAGCCTGGACGTTCTCAGGCACGCATGTGAGCGAACAGCCAGGTATGGGCACGAAACCAATGTCATCATGGCTAAAGGTCCCAAGATGAAGGCTTTCGATGTGGAAGAAGCTGGAAGAAGTTCAGGGCTGGGACTCTGTCATGCCGACAGCGCCACTCCGAGAGCATCTGAGCCGTTCGACGAGGGTGAAAAGGTCGAAGGTGTAACTCCTGAAGGAAAGGGGTCTTGGAACCCAACAACGTACTTGTCAATCGGAACAAGCAAGAGCAGCTATTGTATCACACAGCGAGGATATTTCGGCCGAAGCCCAATGCCGCCCCAGGTCGGAGACAAGGTCTGCATATTTCACGGTGGCAAAGTTCCCTTCCTACTGAGGCCCCAGGAAAATTCTGATCATTTCAAGTTGGCGGGGGAGATCTGTAAGGCCTTTTGCACATCCTGCGAGTTTTTACTGGCTACCACTAATAATCTTTTAGATATCCACGGCATTATGAAAGGGGCTGCAATGAACGCGATGAAGGATGAAGCGAAAGACTTCGTTCTCATTTAAGCCTCGCCTCATAGTCATCAAGACATGCAATTTGGGAGCACAATCTTCGTTACGATCGCGGAGCAATATCCGGCATTTAAGAATGATGCACGATACCAATCTGCATCAAAGCGCCACAATACAACAGATTATACTCATTCGCTAAACAATATCTTGTTGTTCAATTACATTTGCCTACGAGAATGTGCTAGTAACTAATTATGGCTGCGTTTTTCCCTCGCTTCTGCTGAGAAAATTATCGTGCCTTGATCTTGAGTTCTACCGATAGTATGAAGCTTGGAAGGTCACGCGCGTAATGAAAGCGCTATTATCACCACAAATCCTTGCCAATGTTCCAGACTCAAAGAGGCAAACATTTTGGTTGCATCGTGAGGCTTTAGCTCTCAACAAGAGACGCGAGCCCCAACCTAGCACGTTAGGCTCACCAAGCTCCCGGTACGGGCGGCTGACTAGCCTCTGATGTCGGCTAATCCTTCAATAGAGACAGATCGAATCTGGTGTGCGTCCCATTCGGCTCAATCAGCCGACATGGAAGGGACGTTCCGTGAAGGAAATCCTCTCACTCTGGTAGGATTGATGCTAACTAGTCATGGGATCTAGACCAAGCTGGACAGCCTTGGGCTTCGGAGCCTCTTCTGGTATATTACAGCCCCGACAGGCCCTCTAGACTGGACATTGCAATGGAATCATTCAAGTTTTGGGGACCCGTACATCCTGTTGTCACGTACGGCTTGTGGGAAGTCTAGTCAGAATGCGAGTCTTACCACTTGTCCTGGCACCAGTGTCAGTTCTGGCTGGCATTCTACCGACCTTTTCTATTCCCGGATGGCCCAGCACAAGCCCAACCACCGTCAAGGCATCGAGTGCTGCTGCCGTCACCGGTGCCCCGATACCTAAGCCCTCAGGAATCAGTATATCCAGCGTCACCTATTCAGGAAAAGGCTGCCCATCCGGAAGCGTGTCGACTTCCCTGTCCGCCGACAAGACTGTAAGTCTCCAGGGCGGCCGGTGCAAAACCCTCCCTTAAAAGAGGGCAGGAAGCTAATCATAAGAGCAGGTCGTGACCCTCGGCTTCGACAAGTTCCAAGCATACATCGGGCCGGGGACGTCAGCAGCAGACCGCTCCAAGAGCTGCAGCCTCGTCCTCACGCTCAGGTACCCACCGGCATACTCCTTCGCCGTCGTGTCCAGCACGTACCACGGCTACGCGCAACTCGACAGCGGCGTCACGGGCAAGTTCTCGTCGGCCTATTTCTTCACGTCGCTCTCGGGCGCCACGTTCAGCACGAGCACCAGCGTGCTGGGCGGCGGGGCGCTCGAGGCTGGGGATGTCTACACCAAGAGCGACACGATCTCGACGCCCAGCTTGGTCCTCAGCCCGTGCGGCATCTTGGGGGTCGGCTCGTCGGCCCTGCTCAACATCGGCAACACGATTTCCCTCAGCAGTTCTAATTCCTCGGCTGTCGGGTTGATGACGAATGATGATGCGACGGTATCTACGACGCAGCAGGTGGCGTTGAAGTGGTTCAGTTGCTGATGGCGCGGGAGGCTTGGATGACGTTTTGTTCTGTTACATGTCGAATGCGATGCTGGGGTTATTGACACATACCTAGGTACAGGGCGAGGGCTGAAGCCTGCGGCTACCACATAGACAGATGGACAACATTTCCAAAATTTTGATCTGAAGGCAGCGCTGAGATGGTCTTGACATCCTGTGTTTGACACCAATTGAGATTTGGATTCAGACAACATTGTGTTAGAAACTATCTCACAAAGACATAGACTCTTCATGCAGCATTAAAGAATTCGGTGCCACGTCGATTCAACTATGCGCATGTCACCACACCCCGTCAGAACTCAACCACACTGATCTACAACTTGAAGCTGATACTTGGCAAGTCCTCAATGCCTTGAGAGTTTCACACTGCCTTCAACCTCAGACAAGTTCAGCTATAGTGGTGACTACACGAGTTCTTGTAAGGTGACAACTCGCGCCTGCACTATCTTCATCTGGGAGTCTGGCGGGATCACATCCAGGGATGGCAGGTCAAACTTGGATGGTTGGTGATGAAGTCTTTTCGCTATATTCTCGCTTAAACAGGGTTGTGGGCAGCAATCCTAGTTCTTCGGGCTCGTTCTTCAGCCACAACTTCGTAAAACATTGGGGGCGGATTTGCCACGGATGGCCTGCAAACGTCGGTCTCACGATAGCAACTTAAGCTTAATACCTAGAATATCAAACTCGTATAGTGACACTTTCTTCCTAAGGCTTAAGCTTCTGTCATATTGCATCATGATTATAGTTATTGACATCGTGTCCTTTTCAAGCGTTGGGTCTTGAGCGCTGACCACCCTCCGTATCAAGGCGCCATGTATGTCCTCGGAGTTGACGTATACGGAATAGAAGCGAAACCACTTAAGCTTCTGTGACTATGCCTTGGCAGCTTTGAATAAAAAGTAACAACTATGCCCTTACTAGCATACAACAACTTAAAAAGTGTATTTAGCTTTGTGCCGACTTCCGGACTTTCAACTATCGTTTGAAGTGCCGTACACAGTATAGTCAAGAGCTTGTCAACACGAGCCTACAACCATGTACATAATCTCCCTTAAAGCACGTATATGTGAGCCAGGGTCGGAGCTCTTCAGAGCTCTTCGTATCGTGTACTAGTAGTCAATAACAAACAGCTTTGCCTATATGATCTACGCCACAAGTTCGTCCCGCGGGATCCAGACCCGCGTCCTGGGTGAAGGATGACCCCTCGACAGAAATCTAGGCATCGGAACCTTGGGACCTGAAACGACAGCAACAAGTGAGACCCCACTGTTACTGGACAAAAGACTATTTACCTCACACCACAAGGGCTCTTCGCGTCGCTCCCCCGCCCCCTATCGCGCGCACTTAAGACCTCTGTTGTTGTTTTTTATACTCAAGACTAAGACGCCGGGAGACATGAGCCCCGAGTCCCGCCAACATAGCCTGCGCCCGCTCGCGCTCCCTAGGCTGGACACGTATATGCTCTCCGCGCCGGGGTGCCATGGTGACGGATCGTACACATACTTGTGCCCGCACCGGGATCGTTCCCAACATTCAACGTTGAGGCCATACACGAAAGGAGTATTTTCCCGCATGTTTCCAAGATACCACTAGGTTTGGGTCCGTCAGCAACTCCTCCGGAACCAGTTCTGGAACCAGTTCGAGTGTGTATACGCGGCCCCCACTTCTTTCTGTATACGGCGGTCTTTCCCTCGCACCAACCATCCCGGCGAGGACCTTTTGTAGTCTGTCCCAACTAATTGACTAACCACATCTCCAGCAAAAGGGGGGGGGGTTCCCTGCCATCTCCATCTATCTTCCAACAAAGACCCCCATCATGGAACCGCACGTCGAACATCGTGTACCTTGGCCACGGAGAACTAGTGCCTCGGCGTTAGAAAGCCCGCCCGCCCGTATCTCCAGGTGCCATGCCAGTCAGGAGGAGGCCGGCGTCGAGCGAGCAACCACAAACGTCCGGGGCCCGGCCTAGAGCAGGTCCCGCGGGCCCAGCGGACGTTTGACAGCCCTCACTCCCCTCCCCCAAAAATAAACGGCCCTGGCAAGTCCGCAGCCGCGAAACGGTCCCCGCGCCAGCGCCAGCGACAAAAGAGAAACGCCCACGCCCAGTCCGTGCGACTCGAGTCCAGTCCAGTCCGGTCTGGTCCAGTCCAGTCCAGTTCAGGCAGACCTCAACGTTTCTCGGAGCCTTCGGAAGGGGGAGGGCCCCACTACGGCCCAGGGGCGCGCTTCGAAAGAAGCCCAGAAACCCTAGCAGCTACCAGCTAGCCGGCTAGCAGCATCTCGACAGAGCTCCCCGAAACGGGCATGCTGTTTCGATCTGTGCGCAAGGAGATGGCGCCGCCTGGGTTGGCGGGAGGTCGCACGGCCGGTCGACAGCAGCCGGCCCAGCTTGTCGATGATAAAGTCCCCGGTGACGAGGCGAGGCAGGGCAAGGTGCTCCCATGCTTGCAGCCTTAATCCATACAAAGACGCAGGAACACGGCCCTATCGTTATTACTATCATTATTAATCGCGAAAGGGCCCTGCGCCGCATCAGGCTGGCCCGCCAGCGCGTTCCGAGTCCGGGCCCTTTCTCCGCCCAGCAGCAGACCCACGCTGGGCATCTCATCCCAGCTCCATCCCACACAGCCAGCACATGCGGCATCCATCTATCTACCCGAAGCAGCAGGCCCAGGGCCCAGGCCGTCCGTCACAACCATCACCATCCAGCTGCCAGCCCGCTTTCGCTCCCCTCGAGTGCCGCCGGCATCCCAAACAGGAAAGCGGCGATCCGTGCCGAGAGGAGGAGGGAAAGGAAGGGAAGGATTCCAGGGCCCTGCTTCGTGAACGCGGAATGAACAGGGGCCCCAGCTTACTAGCACGCCCTACTTGTTCATGCGGAAATATTCCGAATTCCACCCCATACCTCCCTCCCTCCCTGCCTCTCTGAGGGGACCATGCAGACAGACAGACAGACAGATGGGGGCCCGCCCCGGGGGGTAGGGGGTCAGTCAGTTAGGGAGGGAGGGAGGAGACCGTCTAGACCAGTCCCGCCAGCCCTGGTCCCCACCAAATTCCCGCAATGGGGCCCCCGGGGGGGGGGCGCGGTCCAGAGCAAAGGGAGAGTGGAGGGAAGGGAGACAGACAGATGGGATCAATCGCACGGCCGGGCGCGAAGGCCGGAATGGGGCCATCACCGCACGATTCCGCACCAGGGGGGGGGAGGGAGGGACGACGAGAGAGGCTAACACGTCGTCCTGTCCCGAATGAAGGAAGCCAGCTGGGAACCTGCCCGTCAAGGGTTGCCTGCCCCTTGCGTCCATCTTTTTTTTTCTGCGCCAGCTAAGGCACGATAGACTTTCTGGCTACTGCACCTCGTGTGTGTCAATCAAGCACTATCCGTCTACACCAGCAAGTCATTGAGATGGTCTGAGGTAATTAATCCCCGTCCAGGCCCGCTTTGTGTACCGTATGTGCGAGCAGCATACCGCGGCGGGTGGTATTGCAGAGACGTGTCAGCCAGCCCCCGGAGTTAAGCACGCAATATAAATTGTTCCTCCAACAGAAGAAGTGCAGCAGCTGGGGCCCTCCTTGCCTTTCGTCCCCAGGCAGCAGCCAAAAGAGATCGACAGAGGGTGTCTGCAGAGTCATGTCCAGCACAATAGGGACCCATTTCACGATCAGTAAGGTTTGTGGTGGAGATCAGATTGGGACAAGCCCCGGAGACATCTACCGAGAACGTGGGTTGCTGAAGGGCAAGCGGGCCCCGAATGTAACGACTTGTTAGCTTGTTCCGCTCTAGGGCCGGCCAGGTCCTGGGTGCACGCGCCAGGGGTAGGGTTTGAAGGGGTGGAGTGGAGGCAGTAAGATGGGGACGGACCCAGCAGCTTGGTAGCTCACGCGAATTCCCGAGCGTAGGAGCGAGGGGGAGGGGAGGAGGGGCTGGTGCATCGTGCATCGTGCTACAGAAGACCGTTGAGGCTGCACAGGAACACGCAGGTGCCCGGTGGGTGGGTGAGAGAGAGAGGGGGGGGGGGGCGCCGAGAGGGAGACAGAATGCGAAGCCGGGCGGCACGAGGAAAACCACCAACCCAACCTCTCACTCGCCCGACCATAATACCGCCAGGGCGGGTGCGGTACACCGTCAGACGAGCCTATCGTGTCTCGGGCTCCTGCTCTTTTGTGCGCCGTTTCGTAAACCCCCCAATCGAAGGGCTTGCCGCTGTGGTGGTCTTGATTGCGCCCCGCAACAGTCTCTTGGGTGATTGCCCAAGTGTAACATCATATCTTCGGGCGCCAGGTCTTCAATGGTCTGTATTTCATTTGTGCTGCCTTGTCTCGATTAGGTCGTCCAGGGCAGGGCAGGAGGGATATGCCTCGCGCGATGTGGGAGGAACCCGGGCTGAGGGGAAGGCGGAAGGGGAAGGTTGCCGCGAGAACAGACATTTCTCATGGGAAAATGCCCATGAGACCAACATCATGGCTAGATAGAATGCAGCCAGGCGTCGTTCCCAGCCAGGTACAGGCAAGCGGAGGAAGTGGGCGGATTGTTTATCGACTGGCCGCGGCACAAGTACGCCCACTAGTGGCACATGGCACTGACAGGCCAAAAAGGTCCCGAACATGAGAGAAGGCGGCGACGTGTGGGAGGGACTGTCGGGTAGTGCACGACGTTGAGAGAGTAGTAAGCATAGCGTACGGGACTGACCCGGCAGCTGCCCGGACGGAAATAGCTTAATTGAGGCGCCGATGAGCCTGGGGCCCAGCCGCCCAGGTCCCGAGGGAATGGAAAGGACAGCCATCCTTCTCAATCCAGGCTAGACTCTTAGCCAACAGTCAGTGCGGAAGGGGAGCGGAACGTACAGTAGGCTAACGGGCGGTACCATTGGGGCGGGAGAGCTCTTCGAGCCTAGGGCGCGGCCTTGGAGCCTCTGCTATGTTTCGGCCACGCTCGTATCTGTTGAATGGCCCCCCTTTCGCATCCCCGTCTGACACAATTT